CGTCCCAGCCAGTACACACGCCGCCTCGAAGTAGATGGATATGGGCATCGACAGGTGGCACTCTCCGGGGCCTGTGAAACCACATGGCCTCGGATTTACTGAGCGCCACGTCGAGGCCCAATCTCCTGATTTTGCCGACGACATGCGCCACCCCAGCGGTGGCAAGACGGGCAGACTCAGCAAAACTCCCTCCCCGGGCCACGACCAACGTGTCGTCTGCGTAACAGATTACGCTCAGGCCCGGGAGGAGGGCACCCCTCAGCACCCAGTCATACCCGATATTCCACAAAAGAGGGCCGAGCACCGACCCCTGTGGAACACCGCGCACGACCGGGAACCGGTGCACGATCCCACCGTGTCCGGTACATGTGACCGATCTGTCTTCCAAGTAGGAACCCACCAGCCGGCGAAGGTAGGGGGGCACTCCGTGTCTTTCTAGCGCCGCCCCTATCACGGACCAGGGCAGGGTGTTAAATGCATTGGCGATATCGAGTGACACCGCCAAAGCCACCCCGCCCCTGGAGATGGCCTCCTCCGAGAGGGCCCGCACGCGAAGGATCGCGTCCACCGTTGAGCGGCCCTCTCGGAAGCCATACTGTTCCGCCGACAGATCGGGTCTCACCCTGACCAGATGCTGGATGATGCGGGCCGCCAGAATGCGTTCCAGCAGCTTGCCCACCTCATCCAGCAACACGATGGGACGAAATATTAAATATGGTAGAATAACAGTTTCATCTTGTTAATAATAAATGAATATTAACATGTCCCTATGTATGTTTAAATCTTTAAAACTACGCAACGGATTTTTATGCGGTTTTTTTTTAATAGATAGAGTGATTGAAGAGGAAGGTTTATATGTATAATAACATCCATTAAATAGTGGAGAAATCAATAATAAATTACAGTTTCCGAAGCGAACCGAGGGCGGGTCGCTGGTAGATTATCCTTTAGAATATAGCTGCACGTTGTATGGCCCAGCTAAAAGTGGTATAACGAAGATTGTGTAATTTCAGGAGGATGAAGGAGACGTGCGTCGCCTCCCCCCGCCGTCCCCGTCCGCACCCCCGCCCCCCTGCTCCGCCCCCGCCCCGCACGGAGCGCCCCCGTACGTCGCGGCCCTGGGACCGGTCCCTGAGCGAGCGGGGTAGGGCGGGTCTACTGTCGCCCCGACCAGATATCTGATGCGATAATGCTCTAGCGAGATGCAATCGAATGCACGATGCAGGTTTAGTTGGAAAAATAACAATGCATCTTAGTATCTTTTTCGGTTTTCTGGAGCGGTGGACATAATTTAAAATAATTGTTACTGTGTAATCTCGCGTTCGTTGTGTTTATACATTAATATTTCGGGCGTTTCCTGCATGAAATGTGTGAAATAGTTATGAAATAGTCATGTTACAAATCGTACATAATAATGCAAAGTTATTGTTGCAGATTTAATACAAGATGTTATGCATAAGCGTATGTAATCCTAATAATTATTTAGTTGTAAGTTTGACTTTAACACGAATTAAATGAGCATTTCAATATTTTCTATCGTAACTGTTNTTAATATTTCGGGCGTTTCCTGCATGAAATGTGTGAAATAGTTATGAAATAGTCATGTTACAAATCGTACATAATAATGCAAAGTTATTGTTGCAGATTTAATACAAGATGTTATGCATAAGCGTATGTAATCCTAATAATTATTTAGTTGTAAGTTTGACTTTAACACGAATTAAATGAGCATTTCAATATTTTCTATCGTAACTGTGGTAGCAGGGAGCCTCACACGGTATGCCGCGAATCCTACTCTCGTACACGTGCACACACACACACACACATACACACACACACACAGAACATCAGAATATTTTTGAAAGAGAACAGTTCCAATATTTAAAAATATAAACTGAACCATAGGATAGGATACAGCATAACTTGTTCTTATTGATGTAACTTGTTTACTGTAAAATCAGAATAAATAACGAGCGATCGGACACAAGCGACAACCCGCATCAGTGTGCTTAGTGCGAGTTTTTTAACGTTCTCGATAGCGTAAATGTTAACTCAATTTTGTATGAAGTTGGAACAGCGTCCATAACGGAAAACGTAGACAAACGATCCTATTCCATACAAATATGAGCTGACTTTTACGCTATCGAGAACGTTAAAAAACTCGCACTAAGCACACAGTTCACAATTCACTTGTCACGATAAAGCACTCGACTCCACTACAAGATCATAACGCCGACTAAAATGGTAATTTGAACTGTGGTAGGACAATGATATGTCGAGATGACGCTGAGCGAGCAACCGTCTGAGGCTCCGCGCTGGCTCATCTCCCCCTGACTGTCCCCCCGGGTACACAGTCGAACAATACACGGGACATTGGGTGACTGCCAAGTAGTTAGTTCATAAGTACGGCGTAAGCCACGTAGTTTTAAGTACGATCGATGTAAGCCATATTATTGTACGTGTGAGCTGGCGCTACACACTGCGGCTACGGTTCTGCAACTGTAGCTGACCCCGGCCGCGTAGAGCCGCCCGTGCCGATGTCCGCAAACATTCCTACGCGCGAGACGTTGCCATATGTTATAGTGTTGTACGTTGTAAGTTGTTAAGGAGGGAGAGTGGTTGTTCGATATCAGGTGCCAACAGAGAGGAGGGTGCGCCCGCCGCCGGGCCGCACGGACGCGACCCGGGTCGGGCCTGTGGGGCGCACTCAGACCAATAAACATTTTATTTTTTTATAAACTTGTTTTATTTCGTAGAGATCTCGTCACGTAAAGGAAAAAATTTAATCATTAGATATATGTACGTAGGTAGGGCCACCTCGACCTTCTCAGAGACGGATAGACATGTCAACTTCAAATTAATACGAAGTAAAATGTTCTACCGTTGAAGAAACGCAGTCAAAAGAACAGCCATATTATATCACTCATAAAATCTCAAGGCTTCTCCCATTATCTAGAATCATGAAATTTGACAAGAGGCAAGATCTTTAAGCACAAGTAAACGAAACGTCTAAAAATAGTTATACCCTTAGCACATAAAAAAAGCAATCCCGATAATCCTACACCCACCAGCACCTTGCCTATTTCTGCCGTGAAGCATTAATGCGTTTCGGCTTGAAGGACGGGGCAGCCGTTGTAACTATACTGAGACCTTAGAACTTATATCTCAAGGTGATTGGCGCATTTACGTACGTAACGTAACGGTGCTTTTAGGCACCACAAGCACCGGTCACCGTCCTCGTCGAACCCGTCGCTTGCGACGAAGGGCTCGACGAGCGAATTAACCCATAGACACAGTCCACCGAGTTTCTCGCCGGATCTTCTCAATGGATCGCGTTTCAGTGAGTGTGTTCAGTGTGGTCAGTGTTAGCATCACTCCGGTTTGAGCCCCGAGAGCTCACCTCTAGTTAAGGTTAGGCTGAAATAGCCTCTCAAGGATATCAGCTTAAGTAGGAAAAAAAAATATATATATAAATATTTTTATATAAGTTGATTCTTCTTCTTTTCTTCCATACGGGAGTAGGCTTTTTACGATGCCATTGTTTCCAGTGTTGAGTTTAAAAAAATCTTCAAATAATATGTATAGGTCTGTACATAGATGTCGGCGGACGCTGTGAACCGCCGAACGCACGTGCAACGCTTTGTACTCGTAGTTGCAACGACACAGATAACAGACAACCCGTGACTCATCCCCACTATCACCGGTTGGATGATAAAGCAGCGTGCTGTGTCTCCCTCAGCTCTGTCGTCAGCCCCGTGAGCTCACCTACTAATTAGGTGAATCTATTATAACCCTTCGAAGTTACTAGAATAGGTAGAAGCGAGCCAGTCGCCGTACTAGACCGTCTGCTTATCATGTCGCTACCAGAAAATGAAAATAATCTAACATACATATATTAAGTAATATGGACAACGGACAACTGAAATAAAGTTGAAATAAATTAGATTATTTGATTTAGGTTTTTTGTCTTCTATACGTATATCTATACGTATATTAGTAGTAGGATAAACGAAGTATTTAAAGCAGTGATTACATTCTTCTCAGAATATATTATTACATCATTAATTGAACAGATCTAATACTATATTAATAATTTAATAGAAAAACATATATTTCATACTTAGATAATAATAAGTCACAAGATTTTAATAAAAAAATTGTAAATTCTAAAATTGTCTGCCATACTTTGATTCCTGACGTCACTGAACGCTAATAATAAACTATCCATATTTTGGACTCATTACAATTTGGATTGTTTGTATCCTCCAGCACTACTTAGCACAGGTACCAATCGCAGACAATCATTCACGATACGGTACGGATATTTTCGATAATTTGATAAGAACTGATAAGATACTTGCATTTCGTGAAAACCATTCTCGCTCACACTCGCGTCAAACACTCCAGCAACGAATATTTACAAAACACATGTCGTGAGGTCTGCTGTCTGTGGTGTCAGTGCTCAGTGCTCAGTGCTGCTCAGTGCCGAGGTCTACATGCGCGCGGTACAGTGCGGAGAGAAGAGCGCGATATTTCCACCATGAACTGCTGCCAGCGTCTTGCCTCCGTGCTTCTCTCCCACATCAACCTCATGCTCGCCGTGAGTCTTGCAGTGTCCGCATAGCCCACAACACGATGCCAGCACAAATAATCACTACATAGTATAAAACAAAGTCGCTTTCTCTGTCCTTATATCTGTCTGTCCCTATGTATGCTTAAATCTTTAAAACTACGCAACGGATTTTGATGCGTTTTTTTTAATAGATAGAGTGATTGAAGAGGAAGGTTTATATGTATAATAACATGCATTAAATAGTGGAGAAATCAATAATAAATTACAGTTTCCGAAGCGAAGCGAGGGCGGGTCGCTAGTAAGTTTATATTTCATTATATTAAAGTACTCGTTAGGGTCGTCCTTAGATTTCTTCTACGTAACCCGTTTTCTTTCTTTGATAACTACTTTCAGGTACATAGGCACTAAGGAACTATTAAACGAATATCGTATTCTGTAATCAAGAAATAACTATTAGGTGAAAGTAAATAGGCAATTGAAAAACGACCAAGCGAAATGATTTGCAATAAATTCTAAATCCAAATGAATTTTATTTTGAAAGTGTGGAAATGACTGCATTTGCTTATTGAGCAGCGTTTTGTTTTTTTTTTTTTTTCGAGAGAGAGAGAGAGATATTAGTATCTAGCAATGTCGCACAAACGACTCACAACATTAATGATGTGTGGGGAGTGAACATTTTTTTTTTCTACGTAGTTCTAGTAACCTCGAGGAGCTATTCTAGATTCACCGAACTAGTAGGTGAGCTCGCGGGACTGAAACGGGGAGTGTTGGTAACACTGGCCCTAGCAAGAGCAGTGCTTCGTAGAATCTATCACCGGATCGGAAACGCGACCCACTGAGAAGATCCGCCGAGAAACTCAGTGGGCTGTGTCTATAATTTACTCGTCGAGCCCTTCGTCACAAGCGACAGGTTCAGCGAGGACGCTAACCGGTGCTTGAGGTACCCCGTACCTAAAAGAACCGTTAGTGGATCGGGAGGATTCGTAATGCCGTTTTTAGGGCGACGTCGACCATTTACCATTCGGTCCACAGGATCGGGTATGTAATTATCGGCGGCCACGACAATAGGGTTTTCGTGTCGTGCCGCCTTCTCAAAGTGGCGCAATGATGCCGACTGTAGATACTTACTGACTGAGTCAAGCTCCAGGTCATCATGGAGATCCACATTCCTTATTACCAAGGGACAATTTACTTAGCTTGGGGTGAACACTACAAACGAACGCACGACTCGTCATAAGATTGAAAGCTTCCGACATGGAAATTTTGATCTATAAATGAGCCCCGTGGTCGTCCGAAAACTAATTGTCAACAACGTTAAAGGCAATAGTGTAAGCTAAAAATACAATCAACGGTCTGAGTTAGTGGCAGCTTTCAACGTTAGCATCAAAACAATATTGGTCCATTTTCGTAAAATCGGTATTTTTTTTTTTTTCCTACCTAAGCTGATAGCCCTAGCGGCTATGTCAGCGTAACCCTAACTTTAGTAGGTGAGCTCACGGGGCTCAAACCTGACGATGTTGCTAACACGAACCCTAGCAAGAGCCGTGCTTCGCAGAATCTACCACCGGATCGGAAACGCGACCCACTGAGAAGATCCGGCGAGAAACTCAGTGGGCTGTGTCTGAGAGTTAATTTACTCGTCGAGCCCTTCGTCGCAAGCGACGGGTTCGACGAGAACGGTGACCGGTGCTTGAAGTACCTAAAAGCACCGTTAGTGGATCAGGAGGATCCGAGATGACGTGTTTAGGGCGACGTCGACTGCTTTCCATTCTGTCCGCAGGATCGGGAATGTAGTTACCGGCGGCCACGATGAGAGGGTTCTCGTGTCGTGCCGCTTTATCGAAGTGGCGCATGGACGCCGACTGCAGATACTTACTGATGGACTCTAAGTCCAGGTCGTCATGGAGGTCGACATTCCTGACGAACCACGGGGCTCCGACGGCTATCCTGCAAAAACGGGATTGAATGACTTGGAATGATTTCAAGTGTATGCGGACCGCGTGAGCGAACACTACACTTGCATAGGTCATGACGGGGCGTATGCAAGTTTTGTAGAGTGTCACCTTATTTCTAAGGGACATTTTACTTCGCCTACATATCATCGGGTAGAGACGTCCTAGAATGAAGGCGGCACGGTCGCGTACCGTCTTGATGTGGGGGCGGAATGTCATCCTACTAAAGTACAATAATTAGATAAGTGTGTGCCGCGCGAACAGTGTGCTTAGTGCGAGTTTTTTAACGTTCTTGATAGCGTAAAAGTTGGCTCATTATTGTATGGAATGGGATCGTTTGCCTACGTTTGTCGCTAGGGGCGCTGTTCCAACTGCATACAAAATTGGGCTAACACGTACGCTATCGAGAACGTTAAAAAACTCGCACTAAGCATACTGAACAATTTTCAGCGCGACGGACGCGTTAAGGTATGTCTTGCGTCACTTAACAGACACAGAAACGAAGGGAGTTCGAACCACATTGTCACTTGCGAAGAAAAATTGATCCTTTTCAATAATCGTAAGCGGTCAGCATGCTGGTTAGAACCTGTTTGAACACCAGGTAAGGTCCCAAATGTAAACTTACCCGTGAAAAACTGGGTGTCGCTGTGTTATGAACACGGCCGTTTGTTGTACGTGAATACGTCTCGTAACGGGTAATACTAAAAGTTTCCTATATAAAATATTATTATTTATGCATGTCATAATCATAAGAAATCCTGTCGTCCGCATTAATTATTTTACGTTGCCGGTACTGCTTCACTCGATCATGTGGTGTTTTATAGGTACCATTCGATTGCTGTTGAGATGCCCTTTCCAACCGTATACGATTTCTGTATTTTGAATTGGCTTTCCGACGCGTATAGGCCGACATTATATATATTTTAATTTTATTTTAACACATTATATTCACAGTCACAGTTTGTACAAAGCTGAGTTAACTTTAACGCTATCGGAAACGTTAAAAACCTTGCACTAAGCACACTGGTTTGTATTGAGTATTGTAAGCCCGCACGGGTAGGTACCACCGTCCAGTCTATGTCTGCGCGATGCAGTCATGCGTCACTCTTTGGAGGCGGGACGTGGGACAGTTGCAGTGACCATGCAGCCGAGACTACGATCTCGTTCGTCGTCCCGTGCGGTCGTCGTCGATTGAGTACAATGGGAACACGATGTTTAGGACTAACTCGTACCGTAACTTTACGCATCGGTGTTAATTCAACAAAATATGTATTAACTAGCGACCCGCCTTCGCTTCGCTTCGGAAACTGTAAGTTATTCTTGATTTCTCCACTATTTAATGGATATTATTATACATATAAACCTTCCTCTGCAATCACTCTATCTATTAAAAAAAACCGCATCAAAATCCGTTGCGTAGTTTTAAAGATTTAAGCATACATAGGAATATAGGGACAGAGAAAGCGACTTTGTTTTAGACTATGTAAGTGATACACTTGCTTGAACACGTCACTAAGTAGATATTCTTAAATCCGTCAAAAAGAACTAGAATATTGAGTTACTGTCAAGCTGTTTGTGTACCGTGCGGGCATGATCTGTACGGGGGTACGAGGGTCGGGGGGGAGCGCGAGGACTCGGCCCAGTGATCCAAGGTGTATGTTGCAGCTGTACGCGGGTGCGGCGCTGGTGATGGCGGCGCGACTCAAGTGGGACCCCACGGCGTACGTGGTGCTGCGCCAGCTGTTGCCCGCCGTATACCGGGCCCTAGCCGCAGGTCTGCTCGCCGGCGCCATGCTGCTGATACTGCTGGGACACCTGACCGCCACTGCGCTCGTCGTCCGGCACGCAACCTCGCGTCGCGTTCTGCTCATCCTGGTGAGTGTCGACCTGATTTCCCACCCAGTCTGTTTGCTCTCTGCGTGACCGGACGTTACGTGTGTGTAGTACGCGGTGGTGATGATGGCGCTGGTGCTGGCAGAGGTGGGCTGGGCTTTATGGACGACTCTGCGAGTGGAAGAGTGGCTGCGTGGTCCTGAAGGTCAAGATCTGCTCACTGCGCTGGAAGTGCACGAGCATCTGGTCCCATTGTTCTCCGTGCTTGGTCGACTGCATCCTTTGCCGCAGAAGCTCCACGATCTTGTACAGGTATCCTGCAATACTTCGCGTTATTACGTTTTGCGCTGCGGGGTCACGGGTCAGTCCCTTGTCTCGTGCCTCCAGCCGAAGCGCGTATTGTGTTGAATTGAAAAGGAAGTGGTAGGCGAATGTTGTCACGTGGTGCGTGGTTGTACAGGAGGTGGAGAAGGACTTGCCGTGTAACGCGTACGTGGCGGCGGCGGGCGCGGCGCTGCTCGTGGCGCTGCAGGGGCTGGCGGTGGTGCTAGCGCTGCTGCTGGCGCACTACTCGCGCTCTCGGACTCGCCGGAGAGACTCGCACAGGTACCGCCTCAGAGACTGAATTCCTTTCAACCGTACTGGGAAATGATGCAATCAAAACTTATCCGTGTCGAGCTCTTCAAAACTTTCATAAGGTTTGCGTTACTTTATTAGTAAGTGAGCGAGCGAGCTGACGAGAAACCTGTTGTTAAGTGTCCACGCGATTCCGTCGTCCATCTTGAGACATGAGGCCAGTCTCACATCTTAACCCACAGACATGACCCACTGAGTTTCTTGCCGGATCTCGCTAGCATAACTCCTCGAGGTTACTAGCAATAAGCAGGCAGAATAATAATAATAATATATTGATGATATGTGTGCGTAGGTAACCGAAGTAACATGCAGTATTCGTTCATTTATGTATATTGCACTCAGCCGACTAGTGTGGCACATGCTGTCTCATTAATTGTATCTGTCTGTACATAGAATTAAAAAAAACTTCAGAGGTGTCAAGGGACACCCGGATGGAACGAAGTTCCTTTCGATTAATTAGTGAAGGAATTGTAATTTTTTTTTTAATAAATTACGGCATTGTGAGGAAGAAAAAAACAATACTATGAACTAAATTACTATTGTTGAAACGCTATCTCGAGAAACTACTCATTACGCGGACCAATCGGATACGAGCAATGTCACGCGATAAGCGCCTACACGTTGATTGGTCAGAATGACGGATCTAAAAAGTGTCGTGACAACTTTTCGTAAGAATTTTTTCCGTCTAGCCCCCTTTCACAACGCGCGATAAGGAACTTCGTTCCAAAATAGAATAAATTAAACATTTAAAAATAGAAAAGACTCAACGTCTGTGCACAACCTGCCTACAAAGAATATTGCGGTATTTTGGTCATGTTGCACGCAGGGTTATCAGCAATTTGGAATGCCTTGTCGTGACCGGTAAAATAGAGATAAAAGGGGCTAGGGGTAGAGGTCCCAAACGATGGTCGGACCAAATAGCGGAGGAACTGAAGGTACCTATCAGCGACGCACTCCAACAAGCTACAAAACGGGATCGATGGAGACAGGAATCGTACGGAGTCACGATCCTCAGCAGCGAGGGACCGATCGAAGAGAGAGAGTACATAGAATGTACATACATACTCACTTTGCTATCTTGTTCATTGTTCAATAATTTTATTGTATTCCATTGATATTTCATATTTGCTTATTTGCAAGGGCTATGTAAACTTTCCATTTCCAACACTATTCCAAAGTAACAGTGTACACATGCATACATAGCGGGATATAAGCGCGAGACGAGTGTCGCTCGCGGACATGAACACAAAGGCGAGATTGAAACGTAAACTGTTTGTTTAATGATGAACCTGAACGTGGTTCCAGCTTCGCAACCACAACGACGACGGCTTCGACAAGCAGCGAAAGAGCCCCGCTCCGCACCGCCTACCGGAACGGACGCATCGTGGTGCTGTGACCCCCCGTGACCCACACCCTCGCGGCGCCGCGGGAACCAGAGATACTGTCGAGCAGCACTATTGGTTGCACCTGACACCGGCCTTCCTGTACGTACATGTACGAGTATGTGTACCACGCATGGACATACTATGTGTACTCATGATAAACATTAATAATAGTATATAGAGATAATTATTATTTAATTTTTTAAGATAATGTTAATTTTATTTAATACTATAACTAATTTACTCATTTACTCAACTGTAATAATAAAGATTTTTAATATAACAAAAGGTTGTTTTGAAAATTTATTGGTCTTAAGAAAGTTCGTTGTTTGAATCTACGATTCAATAAGAAAATAGAGGTCAATAAAACACTGTTATTGACCTCTATTTTCTTATTGAACGAGTCCCCGGTACTAACGCCACGACCAGGGATACACTACCGGTAGGATTCTACGAGCAAACAAATGTATCATCGACCCTCTGAGACTCGCCCCGACAATACCTACACACTTACCGTATCCGAGTTTTTTTCGAGAACTTTGATGAACGCATCGCTTTTACTAAGCCAAATACTGTATTCGATTCATTTTTAATCTTCGTAAGTATGACCCCGTGTCTACTGACCGCTCCGAAATAAATTTTCTTCCTCTATGCGAGCGCCGCAATCTACATGCTCTTACTATACTTCACTCTATACTGATATGTCCAACTCCTCCCTCCTATCTGACTCAGTACTTTAAATATTTACATTAGACATGCCGCGAATATTCGGCTACTATTCGGTATTCGGCCTATTCCGCCACTTTGGCCAATCATGGAAAAAAAACACATATCATAGTAATCAAGATTTGTATTTATTATAAAATTACAATACTTTATTAAGCAAAATTCATCAGTGGTAAGTTGTGATGGATAAAAACAAGCTTTTCAGCATTTGATGGTAGCAAACGATTATGCTTTTCGTCGTAAATGATACCAGCTTCAGAAAACAAAATCTCACTATACACGCTACTCCCGGCAGAAGAAAGATAAACTTCAGCAAATATCGAGAGGTTTGGGTATTGTTTTTCGTTTGCTGACCACCACTTGTAAGGATCGGCTTTCCGATCTAGGCGAGTTGATTTTAAATAAAAATCCATCTCATTTGCCACAGTATTCTTCTCCACGTTCTCCTCATAATTACTATTTCGCATATTATCTATAGCGACTTCCTCAAAGCAGTTCCAGAAACTGTCCTGTACTTCAAATGACTTATCATTTTCATTCAAGTTTATTTTCTTACGAAGTGAAAAAGAATCGTCATCGGTACTACTAAATTCATCATTATAACATCGTTTCAGAGCTTCTAGAAGAATTTTTTGTCTTGCTCTTTCTGCTTGAACTTGTGGCGTTTAAGAACGCACCGTTTTTTATGATGCGTAAGCCGAAACACACGAGAGGTGGAAAAAAGAATATAGTCTGTGACACGGGACCTTTTTACCGCCAAAAATTAAAAACGTAAAAAAATAATTTATAATGTGTTTAATAACTAATGTTATTTAATTACATTACTTATTACATTAATTAAATTACTTAGAATTTTTTATGCCGCTACAACAATAAAATTTATATTGTTTTAGCTGTGGTATTAATTACATAAAACACGACTTTACGGCGAAATAAAGAAGGGACTCTATATGAACTCCCTCAAACTTTAATTTGTTATTTATATTGATCTAGCAAAGCGTGCCGTGACGTGATTTATTCGCAACCGAATATTCGGTATTCGGCCAAATCACTATTCGTGGCAACTCTAATTTACATTCTTCGCACAATAAGGACTTGCGTTCCTCTAATAATTTACTCCTTCACTGTCCCACGCATAACTCTAGTTTGGTCCGTTCGTCTTTCGTAGTTCAATCTTTTCAACTTTGGAATTCACTTCAGCTTAATGTTAGGATGATCACTGATCGCCTAACTTTCAAAATAAAGGTTCGGCAACTTGTTTTGAATGAATTGGCAGAAACTTAAAAATTTGACTCGCAATGTAGTGTGTTTTGGGAAATATACTATTTTTTATACTTATACTATATTCTTCTATTACTCTGATATATATGTTATATTTTTATGTTGTATACCTAGTCTTGCCATAATTACTGAGACAAAGGAAAAAAAATCTATTGCAAATAACATTTATTACTTTTACAGTGTGTTAGTTTAATACATAAATATAAAACAATTTAAAGTATAAAAAGCTTATTCGAAGTGATCTCCATTGGCTGCAATACAGTTCTTTAAACGTTGAGGCCAGTTATCAATAGAAGCACGCACTGTTTCCATGGGAAAATTTTTCACTGCCAATCGTACGGATTGTTTTAGGGATTCCAAATTATCATAGCGTTTAGAGCAAGCCGTACTCTCTAAAACTGACCATAAATCATAATCCAGCGGATTAAGATCGGGACTAGACGACGGCCAGTCTTCAGCTCTGATGAAGTCCGAAACGTTCATTTCCAACCAAGACTGCGTAGACCGAGCTTTATGACCTGGCACCGAGTCTTGCTGGAAGGACCATTCTTAATTATTGAACATGGTGTTGTTAAGGGGCTTCACTACCTTCTCAAGAATGGTATCTTGATACACTTATGCCGATGTTTTGATACCTTTTTCACAAAAGTATGGCCCAGTCACTCCTTCATAGCTAATACCTCACCAAACCATCACTGAAGTCGGATAGTGCCCACGTTGCACTCTGTCGACTAATTGAGAAGCTTCCTTAGAACTTTGAGCATAAATACGGTCATTTTGTTTGTTAAAATGTTGCTCAATTGTAAAAAAATTCTCATCCGTAAACAAAATTTTTCTATGACCTCCCTTTGCGTGCCGCTTCAATTTTACCGATTCGATTCTACCACCCTTCGATTTCGATTTTACTACCCTATTCTCTTTTAAATTATCAGTTAAGAAATGACCAGTACGTCTCATAAAGGCTGCAAGTCCTAAGTCATCTTTTAAAATATGCGACATGGTTCTAGGTGCTATCTTCATCTCCCGAGATAAAATCTTTTGCTTTCGGACAGGATTTCTTCGAATTCTTTCCCTTACTGCTTTGACCACCTTTTTCGTACGTACACTACGTGGACGGCCAGACCTTTTTCTGTCACAAACAGGGGAGGTCTCATTGCACCTATTAATAGCCCGGTACACACACATTTTACTAATACCAAGCGTATGGAGAGTTTTAAAAATTGCATTTAGCTCCATACCTACTTTGTGTAATGCAATCACAGCGATTCGGTTCTCTTTATCACCCCACTCCATTTTAATATAGCAAAATATTGTACAATGTATTGGCGCCAAAATGAGAAAACTCAATGAGCAATCATATAAAAATGACAGATTCCAAATTCAAATTTAATATTTTGTTTATTTTTAATTGTAACTATTTATGGCCAGACTAAGTATAAGTGTGTATATTTTAATCTATATAATAATATATAAAAATAAATTGCTGTTCGTTAGTCTCGCTAAAACTCTAGAGCGGCTGGACCGATTTGGCTAATTTTGGTCTTGAATTATTTGTGGAAGTCCACGTTTACGAAGTCTGTCGGGTCAGCTAGTATATGTCTATAAATTAAGTGTCACGTTGCTTGCCGCGATGGACGCCTAAAATACTGAACCGATTTAAACTTTTTTTTTTGGTACGAAGTCCCTTATGGGACCTCTATCACATGACTCTCTACATCACCCTTGGTTGACTGGTAGAGAATGTCTCAGGTATTAAGTCCGCCATTGTAGCTTTGTGCATGAATTTGAATAGACAAAAAAAAAATATTTTTTTAATATAATATGTGACGGAGTAGGAGTTTAAGCAGAGATGGAGGATGCAACGGAGGTGGAGGATCGGCGGTGTTTTTAAAACGTGTGACGTCAACATTGCAGATATTCTCGTAAAGGTCTCGGAGGCTCGGAGAGTTTCGGAGGGTTTAGTAGATTCTCGGAGGTTCTAGGAGGGTCTCGGAGGTTTAACGGAGTGACTGGTAACGTCAGCGACTGGCACGATGTTGTTTTTACAAATGATGACTACAGCGACTCATTATTGTCATTGCCTTCCTTCGTGACTTTTACTGGTGGAAGGACCTCTTGTGAGTCCGCACGGGTAGGTGCCACCGTCCCGCCTATTTCTGCCGTGAAGCAGTAATGCGTTTCGGTTTGAAGGGTGGGGCAGCCGTTGTAACTATACTGAGACCTTAGAACTTATATCTCAAGGTGTGTGGTGCATTTACGTTGTAGATGTCTATGGGCTCCAGTAACCACTTAACACCAGGTGAGCTGTGAGCTCATCCACACATCTAAGCAATAAAAAAATAGTGACAGTAATTATTATTAAGAGTTACTTTGCAAACAATTCAAGTGTACAACAATAACAACAGAGTTCCACCCCGTTCGAGCCGGAACGCTTTGTGCGACAATATTCAATTGTATTTTTAGTAGAAAACTGGTTGCTTAGTCATAACTCTCTTAAATACAGACTTAAACAGTTGTTTACATGCGTAATATTAAAGAAATAGTCAGCTTTAACTAGGTGGTACTATTACTTAACTAAATATTAGGTATGAAATTAGCGTTTTGTCATACTGACCACTTTGATCTGAAATATCTCCTCTTTGGTTAATAACTCCAAATTCAAATTTATAAATTTATTTAGCTGGTACATTTGGGTTTTGAAAACAGTCATTCATTTGTTTTTTCCTCACTATTTTATTCTTTGGCGTCGCTTATTACCGCACAATGTAAAACATGAAATATCGGTATATTGACGAGTACGAGTTCTACCGTGGCACCGGTGCTGCAGAAACAGCTCGAAGGATTAATGATTTTTTTAATTTTTTTTCCTACCTAAGCTGATAGCCTTGAGAGGATATTTCAGCGTAACCTTAACTATTAGGTGAGATCACGGGGCTCAAACCTGACGACTGTGCTAACACGAACCCTAGCAAGAGCCGTGCTTCGCAGGATTTACCACCGGATCGGAATCGCGACCCACTGAGAAGTCTCGGCGAGAAACTCAGCGGGCTGTAGCAGGGGTTAGGTTGCACGTCGAACTCTTTGCCGAGTTCGACGAGTACGGTT